ACTACACCTTATCGTTAGCTTCGGATCTCTCTGATCGAGGGAAGTCACGCTATTATTCTATTAACGTTGCGGGATATACGGGGAACGCGGGCGTTTTTCAGATGAACGATATACGCGTGTAATGCATTCGATTATAATGTTCAATCATGTGAGTCAACGGCGGCGCTTTGGTGCGCCGCCACCCGCGAGTACGTGTGAAAGTGAAATAGCGATAATGGCGATAATAGCGATAAATAAATTCGTGGCTTATCTCCGTTAATTCACGGCGGGTCTCACGGCGCATGGAAATCGCGGATTTTTGTCAACAAGCGCGCGCGTGTATGTGTGTGTGTGTGTGTGTGGGGGGGGGGGGGCGAACGCGTTCGGGAAAAATGCGCGGCGTTACTCAGAGTGAGCGCGGCTCGGTGTCGAGCCTTGTGGCCGGGCAAGCTTATATTTTCCTCGTCATATTAAAGCACGAACGCCGCCGTCGACGCCGCCGAGATAGCGACCATTATTTTCTATCTCTTGCGACACAAGAAATTGCGGATTACGTTTTATATATACGAGCTGAAACGCCAGCATTTCCAGCACAATGCCAACGCGTCGGCAGCGAGAGACGCCGCCGTCGGGTCGGAAATTTAGTAACACCGTTAACGTCGTGGAATGTCGCTTTTTAGAGCTCATTTTGCACCTGTCTGCCCGCGGCAGTCGTGGCCGACCGCGGGATCATATCAGGTGAGTCACGTGAGCTCACGGCTTATCCGCGATTTTCTCACGAGATTGCCGCGCTCGCGTTCTCCCTCGCGAACGAGTATCGATGAGTTGTTCCCGCGCGCAGATAACCGTACATTTACATTACGCCTGTATTTATGAACCCATGTACACGCTCGACGTACACACCCCTTGTGTGTAACGTGACTCGCGACATCCAGATTCCGAGAGAGGCGAATGGGAAAATTAGTTAGTGAATTTAATTATATTATGTAGCACACGCGGAGATGTGAGATCTCCGGAATGTTAGTTGGAACGTTAGTTTGAATACGTTACTTAACCTTCCCGCTAATGCTTTAAACGAGTGACGTACAACTTATTGACTTACCGCTTACCTTCCATAGTATTATTAGTTAAGATATAATTCAAGGTCTTTTATACAAGACGTACATGCGTTTTTACGTGTCTACTCCAAGATCTACACCTTATAATTTGAGATTTAATTTAAGATTCGTTTTTCCCCGTGTTTATCTCTGGCATACTTGTTAGCGAATTTATTACCAATTACACGCAATGTTACAATACACTTTTTAGCATTGTTAGACGATGTTCAATGTTGAAATATGTTCTTGGCGTTGGCTGCGCGAAATTCTCGGCGATTTCAGAATATCGAGGCGCGTCGATGATTAGGTCATAAATCTCGGGCCGCGCGACGCAATGCGTTTACGCAATATAGCGTAGACCAGAGCGCACGCAACGCACATGCACACGTGCGTGCGCGTGTCAACGTACGTGGCGGTGTGGCATGCATTAAAACGCCTCGCTTGACAAATCGGCCGATAATACGATTAGGGCAATAATTAATCCCGGCGTGATTTCGTGTCGGGTCAACCGCGGTTTATTAAACGTAATTGCAAAATCACGATGATTCAATTCTCTTGAAACTTCAACACATGATGCCGGGGTAAATAGCTGACGCAATCCTCGAGCTGTTATTAGCATGTCAAAAGTTAAAGTGGAATGTCTGATAGAGATTAGTAAATCGAAATTATATAAATAAATAACTCGGGATATTATTATAAAAAATAATTACCGAATACAATCATAGATATGTATTCTGATTGTATTCAACAAATATTCTTCGCTTGCGCTTTCTGTTATTTTTTCGTACGCAAACTTCCAACACAAAAATTCGTTTACTTCCAAATTTTATTTTCGCAACAGCAAACTCTTTAATCTACCGCAATAAAATTTAGTAGTGTAATCGACGACAAATATAATATCGTATAAAATACGCGACTTCCTGACTTCGTACCGTATCTAAGCAGACTTCCACATTGCGCAAACACGCAACCGTGATAAACCAGGCGGACAGTGGATTCTATTTTAAAGCGGCTATCGCCGTATCGATTGAAATGGCGGAAAACGCTCATAAAGGCGGATCATTATGATTTTTTCGCGACGCGAGCGGCCAACAACGAGCGTCGCACAATTCCGCAAAACGACTTTCTACCCACGTTATAATTGATTTGTCACGCCGCGGCCGAGAGCGGCTATCGGCCCGAGCTAATCGACGATGAAAAGCGCGCTGCGCAACGATATTGCGCACGGGAAAAGTCCGGTAACGCGCGCGAATCGTGACAGGGCTCCCGACGGATATTATCGGTCGCGTTTCGCAAAAAGATCGATCGCTCGGTGCGTGTGGGTTAATGAGGAACCCGTTTCGCCGGGCGGCCAATATTTTCTGCCTTCGCGTGGTGTGGCGCCTCTCCCACCTCGGCTCTCCACTCTCGCATGCTTGAGACGAACGGGGAGAATATTGTTACCGCGTTTATTGAAAAGTAATTGAAATCACGGAGTTAATGGGCCGCGGTACGCGGCGTGATCGAGAGAAGTATCAAAGCGCGGCAAAATAAAGGTATCGCGAGTGTGGTGTCATTATTTATGCGAAGACCGAACATGACTTATCATTTCTGCCGTCTGCCGATCTGGTATCTTCGCATCCTTCACGGCGAAACTTTCGCGGAGATTCACCTTTCGCAGCGATAATATCAATCGTAAGATAAAATCGTAAAATTTTAATCGTAAAAAATATTACAAAAAGAGAGAAAATTATTAGATTTAATTTTATACATTCAATATCTTTTTAGCATCTTTTTATTTTTATTAGATTTAATATCTTCTTTCTTGTTAAAAATCCCGGTACGCTTTCTAATATCTGTATAAATGTTGCGGAAATAATAATAACGCGTTTAGAAAGCCATCTACATGGCTCGTAGAGATTAAAAACGAAGCGCGTGCTGCTAATCGGGCGCGTGGAGGTGATTTACGATGCATTTTCCGAGCCGAAGCTTATATCCCGCTTCGCATGTATCGTATCCTACGTACGGGCGGAACGCCCGCTCGGACGCAGGCGGAAAGACGCCCGGAGGTTCCCATTGTACTCCGGCGCGTTCGCGCAATCTAGATCGGAATTACTTTTATCGTTCGTCTGTGCGTACCGGACACGGACCGCCCCGGACCGTTCGTTACGTACGTACGCGCGCAGCATGCAGCAGCATGCCGCGCGTAATAATGATCGCCTTTATGCACCGTGAAAAGCAGCGGAGCGCGCGTGACGGTGCGTGCACGCGCGCTTGCACGCGCGCCTTCTCCCGATCGACAGGTACAAATAATAACTGTCCGGCCCGGTATATGCCTGGCCGTCGTCGGCGCAACGCACGCCCGCGTTCGCACGGCAATTTCTGATAGTATCCGTATTATCTGCGAAATGCAACTTCCGACCAACTTTTTTTCCCGCCCTGAGCACGAGCTCCGCCCTCGGTGCGAGCGATTGAATTTAACGGCCCGATCTTGCCGTCGGATTTGTGAATTAATGGCCGAGATTGGCTTGAATTATCCTCGCGCTCTCGCTCCTTCGTCCGGCACCGGTACTTGGATATTTATTATCTTCGGCCCTTGACTCGCAACATGAAATCGAGTTGGAATATTATATTTTTTAATAATTTAGAGAATTATAATTCTTTAATTACTTGAAATTATTTTTCCTTAAATTTTACTTTACGCTTCGAGGTGTTATTTGAACGGATAATCCCACGAAAATGAGAATTTTCAATGCGTTTGCTCGACAAGTAAACTAAAGATAAGGAAAAAAAAGGCGTATTCTATTTCTATAATATTATAACGGAGCTGGCGATAATTTCTGCTCGTTGTTCGCGAGTGATTTTCCACATTACCACGAAACGCGACTTACGTCAGAATTCTTTTTTCCATACTGCAGTCGTACCTGTCGACAGGAATTCCACCCTCGATACAATCGGTATCGGGATTTAACGACTTAATAGCGACGGCGCACCGCTTCCCGACGATAAGTACGCTTTATACCGAGAAAACCAGATGCTTATAATTCTGTGTTATTTACCGTGAATGATACCCGAGTCGGCCGAGTACATACGCCCAGCGAGGATTAATATCTCGTGAACGGGACATAGAAGTGGTAATTGATTGCGCGCTAAAATTCTTACCAATTCCAACGGTAAGAAACGAATAAGAAGCTATATGGACCGTTGCGTCCACTTTTGTCGATAATTTGTTATGATTTCGCTCACGTCTGATATTAACGGAGCTAAGCAAGAAAATTTACGCGCTTGAGATCGTTGCAAAATCTTTGCTAACAAGAAGAAATGTAAGATCGATAAACCTACGAATCCGCAACGGTCACCGGTTGCCGTTATTAAATTCAATATAATATAAAAAATAAAATTCATAAATAATATTTTTAATTTAATTTAAATAATTATAATATTAACTTAATATCCTAAAATAATAAACGTATGAATAAAGAAATATTTTTGTTTTAATAGACATATATAAATGGGGAAACAAGCAAATTAATCCGGCAGTCGTGTTAAGATTTAAGAATTTTTGCGATCTTGATACACAAATTAAATAAAATATGTAACGATAGACATAAAGGATTTGTGTTTCTCTCTCGCCTTCAAATCGTGAAATCACCCGAGTCGAAACATTTAATCAACATTCCATGCGGTTTCCGCACTCACGTCGGAGATCGTCGTTGTTTACTTCCTATGTGTATCGGTTGATTTCTTTTTTTTTATCTACTTCGATCGCGTCGACGGGAACGCGGACGAAATGCGGTCGTGCGGAACGACGACGGAACAACATTTTTTTACGAGTGAAACACGAGTTCATAGAGTTCCGAGAGATGGAGTCGCATTACCGATCGCCGGGTGATTTTTCTTTTCCGTCATGCAATGCGAGAATACCATCGGCCATCTTGTCGGCGATAGCTTGTCGAGCCTTGGTCTTCGCCTCACATATTTACGAAACATTTTATCGCACAATTTTTGAGAGTTTCACGTGGAAACTTACGTTCGATGCTTAATCGCATCAAGATTAAAAGTGAGAACAAAAAAGATTTGCTAATTAAGTTAAAACTTATGTGTCATGTAATTTTGAATATAATATCAATGACCTTTCCGGAGTGTTCTGTGCGTTGAAGGAAGTATCGGGAAAGTATCTCTAGATTGTCTAGACGGTCAATTGTCCGCTATATACGTACCGCTTATTAAGTCACTCGAGAGATGACTGTGTTGTCAAGGCAGCTTGCGTCTCGTGCAAAGTGCGCAGCAGCCAGTCTCGCCCCAAGTGTTAATTGCTACGTCGAATCGAGGTTAACCGACGCTTTTGCGATCGACGTTGGCATGCCCGCACGCCCGCTAGAAGGCAACAGCACCAGATCTATCGGTGAGTGGATTTATTTGTTACATTTGCACGATCGATCTCTCTTGCCACCATTGCAATTATTATATTATACTTATATTCCCGACGTTGACAACAAAATTCTTTCGTCGATGATGAAGCTTATTTTCTATTTAATTCATATTTTTATTTATTTATTTTTTTGATTATGCATTGTTTTGTCGATTTGAGACGTTGTAGTTAACCCATGCCTCTCGCTATAAAAATTGTTTCATATCCAAACGACGACTTTGCCTACGAAAATAAACACGTTATATAAAAAAACATCGAGGAAAATATTGAATGACATAGTTAATGGCAAATTTATGATATTGAGGTTTCTAGGTTCTGACGAAAAATTGTGGCAAGGCATTGTAGAGCCACAAAGTTTCGAAATAGCAATTATGCAAAAGAATCAGATGCAACCGATTGACCGAGATCCTCGATATTATACTCCTCGCGTCAGGGCCACCCCGCAGCGGCAAAGAAGTCGGCGATGCATCCCGGTACGCGAACGTTCACTTTTTCAGTGTGCGGCCGTTAATTAACCTACGACCCTTTAATTATTATGTGGGAGGTCGCGGGAGGGGCGGCTCGCGGTAATATCGCGAGCGGGCATCGTTTGATACGCTCGAACGAACGAACGAACGAATGAACGTGCTCTCTCTCTCTCAGAGAGA